AAAAATAGCAATAATGAACCCTCTAAAACCCTAAATATATTCTACTTAAAAGAATGTTCATTGTCTTGAGATTACTTTCTTAGTTTTTGCTGTTAGTATAATTTTTCTTTTTTGATGTTATGGTGAGATTAGGGTCTTGTGATTTCTTAAAAATTGTTGTTACTTGACAGAATTTAAATTTGTCAATGCTGCTGGCTTTTGCAGTTTTAGAGGGAACATTTTACTAGCTTATGGAGAGCTACTGATACACACACTCCTTTGGCATGTGTGGCGCAGGTATTTGAACAGTAGGCTTCACATATTAAATCCACTAGTGGAGTCAGCTCATTTATTCTAGAGCTAACCATCCAGTTGGAAATCCTATAGATTCACTTTATATTGCTTCTCTTTGTATTTTATTGTTCAACTTCAGGGGAAAAAGGAAAAGGAAAAAAAAAATTAAACCCATACCAAAATACTAGTAAAAGTTTAGTCAAATCTTTGGATGTTAGAATTCTGGAAGAAACAAAAAAAGATAGAGAAATAGAATTTATTGACCAAAATAGGATTTTTGAATTATCTTTGGATTTCAAGTCATTTTGCATTTTTCAACTTCCCACTTCATAGGAGCAGCCAATAAATGTATCACTAACAAATTTTAATTCAAAGTATTAATCTTAAGTACCATTAGCAATTGAGCCGGCAGAGATCGGCATTGGAGATGGTGATCCTGAGCAACGGAAGTCCGTAATAATCAGTTACTTATAGAATGAGTCTTTTGCTCAGTAAACAAATGATTCTTATGTGGCAGATACTGGGAAACAAAGAAGAAAAAGGCACTGTCACTATCCTCAAGAGAATTACAACCTAGAAGCAGTAGGGATGAAAGTAAGTCAGTGTCTGAAGATTGTCATTGGGGAGGTGATAGTATGTTGGGTGCTCCAATGGGCACTAGACTTGGAGAGGTTAGGAGTGGTGGGCTTGGGGGTGGTGGCAGAGACAGTACATGGAATGAAGACATGGAGGTGGAAGTAGAAAACAGGACCCATCTCGGGAAGTTATGAGCATGTTGCTATGGCAGGAGTGTGGTGTGGGGTGAGATGTGGAGGTGTGGTAAAAGAAAAGGCTGAAGAGTTAGGCAGCAGCTAGATGGAGAACTTAAGATGCTTTGTTCAGGAATTTGGACTTTATCCAAAGGATTTATCAGAATGTGTTCTGTGGGGTGGTGAGAGGACAGAAAAGAGTTTTCAGAAGCACCACTTGAGACAAAGTTAAGCAGACATATTTACTGAACTCTGCATGAAATAACATTTTCATGACTATTTGACTATTAACTTTGTTTGAAGGTTTACCTTGTGTTTCTTAGAACATGGTTTAGGAAACCCTGCACTGTGTAATTGAAAATCATCAAAATGTCTTAAACAGGAAATTATAGATGATTACATAATCCAATTCTGTTTTAAACATACTGTGATTCTCCTCATTAGGCACTGTTCAACCAGAATTTTTAAACACCCACAATTTTCAACATTAGGTACCAGATATTCTGGGAGATTAGATACATGCATGAGACATCTTGTCTGACTTTCAAAAAATAACACATTGGTTATCTATAAATGTTACTCATCTGTGTAATTATTTGAATCAAAGGCAATACAAAAGTGAGGAAGTTAGGATAAGCCTGGAGAATTACGGATTTTCTGTGGTTTTTGTGCATTGTTGGTTTCCATAGGATGTCTAGTGTTAATTCTTTTCCTACAGGTTGTCACCACTCAGAAGCATGTGCTTCTGTTGCTTCTTTTTGGACTAGGATTGTTTCTGGCTAGGGTCTTTACCAATGCAGTCAGGGTATAGAAGGAAGAAAGCAGCCAAAATGGAACTTGGACTTGGTTTATTGGATCATTAGAGGTACACACTTAAGTTTTGTTAGGTTAAAGTACAGCCAGTTCTATGGATCCTTGGGATGTATACTAAAGGTATATCCAAGAAGTTTAGAGAAATAGTTTGAAATGAAAGAGAAAGTGAAGTTGTATCTGGTGGAACAGAAAAATCAAATGCAGAAATCTGAGATTGTCTCAGACTTTTTGCTTCCTTAATGCTCTAGTTTTTTCTCTGTGTCAAGGGAGATTTTCAGGTAATCTTCTTGAACTAAGTTTCTTGGTTACTTGTTTTTGTCAACCATATTATCTATTAGGGAAACAGAATCAGAGTATGTAGAGTGGGGTACAGCTTATGGCTTTTCATCACCAGTTATGGAGTAGACAATACTGGCCCTGGATCTTGATGGTCTGTGTTCAAATGTATTTATTAGACTATCAATTACTTAGGGTCTGTGACTCTTAACTGAAGACCTTAGGCAAATTATTTCATCTCCCTGAGTCTCAGGCTTCACATCTAAAATGGGAAAATGATAGTGTGTATCTCATAGGGTTGTGAGGATTAAAAGAGCTAATAAAAGTGAAGTGCTTCGAACAGTGACTGATACATGCTCAGGGCTAAGTTACCTTTTATCTTTAGGATTTCTTTATCCTACTGTTTTCTTTAGGATAATTCCTTGGGGTAAAAGTAAGTAAATTTTCTGGCCTAAATAGGATTCTTTGAAGAATGCCTGTTATCTCTAAATAGGATTGGTTGTTAGAATTTTCTAATTCATAAAATTTTAAATATGGCAAATATTTGACACATTTATATAATATTAGTAGCTAACATTTCATTCCGTTAAATAAACTAACTGGTAAAAAGCATCTCAGATGCTAGAGATCACATGCTAGATCCACATTAACTAATGGTTCTCTTGTTTTGTGGAAATAGATTTAAGCAGGGTATATAGACACATGCAGACCTTTAGAATTGCCTTTCACTTTATACCTCAGCTGCATATATTCAGGGTAGTGCATGAATAAAGGCACTTTACATGCTTTCTGCAAACTTACCTGCTTTTCCTACCATCCTTGTGAGAATTAAAGTAATTAGGATCATATCAAATCCTAACCTATGAAATACATTCTTTATAGGATTTGCAAATGGAGAACTTGCTTTTTGTATTCTTCAGTCTAGTCTTTAGTTGCTCGACTTTGTTGGTGCTAATGTAGCACTTTCTGAGGCCTTTATTAAAAAAACAAAACCAAAACCAAAACAAACAAAAAACTGGGCAAAACTAATTTGCCACTAGATGGAGCTCTGGCTATTTGGGTAGAAAAAAAGGCAGTGCAGCGAGAACATTAAATCACGCAGTCATATCATGCTGGAGGGCCCCTGGTATTTGTGGGCCTCAGCTTTTAATTGTAGAATGCATCTTTGTTCTTTGCCTGACCTGAAGAGTGACATCACTGCCTTTCTTCCTGTGCGCTGGCTTTGACACAAGCCAGATGGCCACAATGATCGGTAGGCGCCCAGGCCGCCTGGTACAGCAGTTGATGAAACAGACTAGGAAGACGTTTTATGGTCAGCTGCAGGAGCACAAAGAGGCTGCAGCTTTGCTAAGTGATTACATTTGCCGTGCACACTTTATTCCTCACAGAGAAGGGTCTCAAGGAAAAAATACATTTTTATTTATAGTGGTGTGAGGTAGAGACCTTTGATCTTTTATTAGCTAGTAGTCTGCTCCAAAGGTATGCTCTCTTTCCCCTGCTCTGCAGTCACTCGTGAAAATGACATGTTTATTTATGTTTAATGGTTCTTTCAGGCTGTGCATTGTGATACTTACCTTCCCTCTTCCTCCCCTTTGTCTCCAGTTAGTAACACAAAAATGTTTTAGTTTTGTAGTGAGTTTAGTTTGGAAAAGTCAGAGTTCAGGCATGTTAATACAAGCAGATTTCTGTCAGATATACTCCAGAGTGATTTGGTAAAATATATTACTGTTTATTATGTGTTTGTTCTTCAAGGAGGTCAGAAGAGTCCAGGAAAAGACTTTTATTTTTGGGGTGAGGGAGATGGAGGTGGTGGTCAGGAAATGAGCAAGACATTAATCTTATATCCATTTTTGGACATTTGGTGGTTAAACCTACTTAAACTGCTAAGTTTAAATAAAACAAATTGATGTCAATTTAGTGTCTTCCAGTTTCATTTGAAGTTAATTCTTAACCAATTGCAATACTGTAAAATACTTTTATGAAAATCTTAAGAACTGAGGTTTTTTTAAGTTTAACATTCATAAAAATTTTGAGATTCTTCCACATGGTTCCTTTCTAAAGACTTTAGAAAAATATTTTTCCCTTTTTAATACTAGGTCATGAATATTGTTCAGAGAATTTTATTTAGGAATAATTAATCAGAAAATTAATAACATTTCCTGTTCCCCATTGTTTATTCAAACTTGCCACTCTTTCTTTTTTTTTTTTTTAAATGTTCAACCTTTTTAATCATCAAGGAAATACAAATCAATTGCCACTCTTTCTAAGGTTCAGTTTCTTGGTTCTTAGGTTTTTTGACTCTATTTAAAAAGAGAAAACTAACAAAAGAAGTCTCTTAATCTTATAATATTTTGAAGGCTTCTTCAGGGAGGGATATTTGCAAATAATTGCCATAAGAAGGCAGAATATGGCTTTGCAATCAGATATAATAGGGTTTTCTAATCCTTTTTCCACTGGTTATTTGCTTTGTGCCCTCGGATGGTTGAGCCTAGGTTTCCTCACATATGCAATGGGGGTTAAACTTACCTCCTAGGTTTATAATAAGAATTAAATGATACAATGTACATATTAGGCCCCAGACAGTGCCAGTCTCATGGTATGAACTCAGTAAAAGCAAATTCCTTTCAAGTATTTTAAACTTCAATCTCTTGCAAAATGTGGTCCCAGATAACACTGCCATTATATAGTGTGCTTTATTCATGAGATATAAATAAGTCTGGGTTGAAAGCAAGATCATTGTCAGAAAAATCAGCATTTGAAATTTATTAGCAATGTATGAGTTTGTGTCCAGTTCCAGATAAAACCGTAACCATTAACCGTTCAGTGAATGTGCTTAACACTTGTGGTGTTTTAATTCGTTTTTTTTCTTTTCTTTTTTCTCCTACTCAGCTCTTGCCCCTGTTCTTTGCCTCTCGTTTTGTTGGTGAAGCTATCACAGTGATGTCTGCATTCAACCTGCTGCATTTGGTGACAAAGAGCCAGCCAGCAGCCCTGCGAGCCTGTGGGCTTCCCTCAGGTTGCTGCTTGTTGTATTGTTCATACTGAGGGCACTGGTCTGAGTGGGTGTTTCTGCTGGAGGAAATGGTACAACACCATGCTTTCCTAAATTTTGTTTTCTTTTATTTGGGTCCTCATTTGAAGATGGAAATTGGTTATAAATTACCACTCTACTTTGAGTAAATTGATTTCCACAATTGATACAACTCTGGGAAACATTGTTCAGTTTCCTTGCCTAGTATATAATTGTCACTAATATTTCATGATATCTTCCTGTTCCTTAGTGCATACTACACATCTGCAAATCATAATGTTCATAAAGAGGCTGGCAGTCTTTGTAAGAAACTGCTCCAAATCACACAAAATAGGACATTCATTTTGTTAAAGGATAATGAGAATGTGTTTCATTCTACATGTAGCTATTCCTTTAGAAAAAAAAATTAAATGAACAATTGTGGTGTAATGGTTACTTATTTATTGTGGTTAATAAAAAAAGATGTTCTATTTAACAGTGACCAAATAAACAGAACTAATATAGCATGTATCAAACTGGTTCTTAAATTAGAAACACTATAATTTTAAAAAATGTGATTTCAAGCATTTAAACAAGTGAAGCATGAAAGTCCAAAGTTTCACTATGTGCCTTTATCATAAGTTTATTTTAATATTATCATGGAAAACACAAGGTCGAATATTTTTATTTCAGTGACTATGATGATCAGTACTATTTATATTTCCATTAATATACATATCTGTTATTACATTGGATAGAATATTTAATTTTAACTCATTAAACCATTTACTGAGCATTGCTGTGAATGCCAGAGATTTTGTTAAGCAGTTAGTGTACAGTGATGAACAAGGTAAAGCTAATTTTTTTCAGTAAGTACAAGGTAGAGATGGGACTGTGTTGAAGACCTTTGAAACATATGATGATATGACCAGACTAGAGGTATTTATGCTTGGGAATCCAGAGAGGATAGTTGTAGGTGTTTCCTTTAGGGGAAGAAATTTTGGAAGGGAGGGATGTCTCTGAAGTTTAAGGTGGTGGAGGTGCTTTATGGAGGAGATGGATAGCCTCATGGCCAAGGAGGGAACAGGACAATTCTAACATGGACAAAGCATGAAGGTCAGAAAGAACGATGTGTGTTCAGAAAATACAGGTTATTTACTATGGGTAGCTTGGAAAGGCAAGGGTGAGTAGAAGAGGTGAGGAGGAAAGGTTGCCAAATCATGAAGTGCCTTATATAATGTTCTAGGGAACTTAAATCTTGGAGAAGAGGTGAAGAACATGACTTCATTTGCATTTTATAAAGACTAGCAATGTAGTGTGGGGAAAGTCAGTCCTAGTTTTTCAGATGTTTCCATGAGAGGAGCTGAGATGGCAATGTAGAAAGGGGGGCAGATAAGGTATTTGTCTGAAGGCTTTATTTGAATAAGCAAATAAACTTTCTTTTCTTAAAAGTAGATTTTTATCTCTGTTTGTGGAACTCAAGAAGTTAGTGTAAGTTAATGCATAGAGGCCTTAACCACTTTTATCAGTATTTCTCCTGGCACTCCATGACCTGCACTGTACTGTACAGTATACTGGAGGAGTTTGAGGATGGATGGTGCCACAAAGAACTGAAAGCCTTAACAAAGGTCATTACAGTCCATTTGAAAAGAAAGATGCAGGCTATGGAACCGAGGTTTATATGTTGAATTGTAGGTTGGGGAAGAACCTCTCAACCGCTGTAGTCCCTGTGCCATGTGTAACTCTTTCACTACTATGTATTATATACTGCAGTTGGACTATCAATATTATTTAGTTCATTTGTGACCATGTTTTTCGATGGTGAAAGCACCCAGCATAGTTCTTATAACATGGGTTTGCTGTACACAGTAGAGGCTAAGAATTTACAGAAGCAACTTACTAATTAATTATGGAATTAAAATGTTTCATAATGAAATTTTTAAATTGGAATATAAATATCTTTAAATTTTAACGACAAAACAGTTTAAAGATGAATTCAGCAAAGCTGACAATTTTTAAGATGTAGCTATTATAGTATAGTGTTTAAGCACACAAATTTTAGACTGACTAGTTTGAAATCTGACTTTGCCTCTTTTGACCTTAAATTCTTTGTTTTTAAAAATGAGGTTAATAACAGGACCCACTTGAAAAGGGGTTGGTATGAAAATTAAATAGATTGGGATATAAGAAGTGCTTAGGACATTGGCTTGCATAAAGTTAGCACCACAGATGTCCTCACTGGGTTCACTACAGAAACCAGTGTATCTATATCCATGTGGATTTATATTTTTCCATTACAGTAGAATTTTAAAAAAACATTGAAATATATCCCATCTTTCATTTCATTACTTTACTTTTACAGGAACTGTGGATATGCTTTATGTTTGAAAAATAACCATCTCAGCCTGTTATTTTGATCTCTTTATTTTTCTTATACATTCTACTGAACCAAAATTCAAGTCCTGTAAATATACAACATATTTACTTTTGTTAACCAGTACTGCTGAAAGCCCAGAGAAACTCTTTATCTTTCTTAGCTAGGGCTTATAGACCCATTTTAATCTGACAGATGAATTGATTTAGAGTAATATACCTTAATTCCCTAACCACTCCAGTACTACTTAATTTTTAAAGTGTTATGAAAGTCAGTCTTCTAGTGTCTTCAGGTTTTATAATTTAAATATAATCAAAATCTTCATTATTTATTTCATGAATAGGATTTTACTCTTAGATATAGAAAAATGTTGAAGAAATTGTTAACAATAATGAGACAAACTATTTACTCTTTCACATATAAAAATGAAATTGAAATGAGAATTCTAGTCTTTATTTCTTTGTACAGGTAAAGAGAGGCAAGGCCAAAATTGGAAAGATAGGAAATTAAGGTGAAAGTCTTGCTTTAATTTACTATTCCCTGGTCAAAACCCATTACAATACAAATCTATGTAAATCAAAAAGATTTCTGTTCCCTATCCAGTACCTTATTAATTTTGAGTACTATTAAATATGAAATAATTCCAGAACTAAGATAATTGGAACAGGCTCTTGAAGTTGATTATATCTGAATTGACCTGCATAAAGGCCATATCCCAGAAGATTAATCTATCATTCATCAGTTTTGACTTCCTCTACTTCTTATTTTATAATAAAACATAATTTTAAGTTAGAGCTTATTAAGCATATCTGAGTTTTGGTTCACTTATGTTTGTCATTAAAAGTAATTTTTCTCTCTCAGAATTTCTTGATTTCCTATAACCGTTTCTTTTGAGTATTTAAAAGAGCACTGGAATAGGAGTCAGAAAACGCTAACCATAGCTGTGTCATTGGCTTGTATGACCTTAAACAAATTGGTAAACCTCCCCAGTTCTCAGTCTATTCATCTTTAAAATGAAGAATCAAAATTAGATAATATATTCAGTTCTGAAATTCTGTAATTTTATTAACTACCATTTAACATTTGGCTTTAGGTTAATTAAAAATCTTAAAACTCAGTACTAATTAATCCTTCCAGCTTACAGAAAAGTCTGCTAGGTTATGGTGGGAGGATAGAAATATTTTCCATTTGGATATGGAATTCCTGGCTACTA